TCAACTATATCACAATAAGTTAGCCATTTGTGTTTGCCTGTTATTTCTCATCTATAAAATGCTTCTTGTGGTGCAGTCACAAGGGTGTTTTCAGGCCCAACCTGGGTTTATATATATTCCATATTCTCAATATGGCATGTCTAATATAATGATTTTTAAAGTCCACATAAACCTTGACTTCATCGTATCACAAAAATCCATGCCACCCAAATCTTAGGTCATGTTCTTTTAAGTCCAAAAGCCTTCTATTTCTCAGCAGCACCCACTCTTTTATCCAAACCAAACAGCAAGCTGCAAAATACAATTTCAAAACAGGTAAACCCAATCCTCCTCTTTTCTTTGCATCTCGTAACACCTTAAATTTAATTCATGTTTTTTTCTGCTGCTACACAAATTTAGATGTATCCTTCTGCCACTGTTTAAAAGGTGCATTAGTTGTCAAAACGAGTATTGTCTGAAACAAAAACATCATTCTAGGCAAGACATTCATTTGTATCACAGATTTTTTTCCTGGCAATGACAATTGTAATTTCTCCCATCTTAACATATCTTTTTTAATTTAATTCCATGTATTAACATTTTTTTTAAATAACATAAAATTCATATTTGTTATACTGATACCCAGATATTTTACCTTCTTCTCCTCAATCTTAAAACCCATTTTATTCATCAATTGTATTTGATCTTCTATTTTCACATTTTTTGTTAACATCTTTGTCTTCTGTTTATTAATTGTGAAACTTGCTAATGCACCAAATTCTTTTAATTTGTCCATTAATATTTCAATTCCCTTTAAAGGATCTTTCAGAACCAATACTAAGTCATCTGCAAAAGCCCTTAACTTATAAATTTCCTTTTTAATCTGTGCTCCAACCATCTTCCTGTCTTGTCATATATCTCTGTTCAGTATTTCAAGAATCAAAGTAAACAAAAGAGGAGACAGTGGGCATCCCTGTCTTGTTCCTTTTTGTATCTCAGATGGTTTTGTTATATCTCCATTAACAATTATTTGTGCTTTCTGTGAAGTGTAGATCGATCTTACCCATTTTATAAAATTCTCTCCAAAATTCCATCTCTCTCAAAACCTTGAACAAGAAAGCCCAGTTCAAATTGTTAGAGGTCTTCTCTACATCTAAGAGGATCAATGCAGCTTGTTTTTCATTATGTTGCATCAAATATTCAAAAACGTCCAAACATTTCTAACAACCTTTGAATATTCCTAATTACAGTAATGTTTTTTAATGGGAAAAAAATGAAGTAATAAAACATTTTGGCATTGGCCTGGGGGGGCGGGGCTGATTTTTAGTACACCCTGTATAACTGGTGACTCTTGAGCTCAGACATGCGGCTTTTTTAGTCCTACCTAGAAATGCAACAGTCACAACCAAGGACCTTCAGCAAAGAAAGCATGTATTCTCCCTCTAACTAGGGCCAACCCCTCTTAGAGTTGCTAAGGTTGAGAAACACTGATCTAGATGGTACTAGGTGATAAAGATATATGCCCTGATTCACTTTAGAGGTAGATAACTGAAGGCTCTTCTCTTTTGCATTCCATCAAAAAGAGGGAGATAGGAAGCAAGCCCATTCCATCGGCCCTGGGACAATAACAGCTCAGTCAAAATGAACAATTTCTAGCTAGTCAACGATAATGCAGTTTGCTTTTTTCTTCTTTCCTTCCCATTCTTCTCCCTCCCCTTCCCCCTTTGTCTTGTACTTTAGACTGTAAGACTATGGGCAGGCACTGGTGTAAATTGCCCTAAGTGCCTATTTTAGCAGAGGATAAAGGAGAAAAGGCATAAACAAACAAACAAACAAACAAATAAATAAATAAATTTGCATCCCAAAAACTGAGGATATGGAGGGCTAAATATGCAGTTAAAGGTTTAAATGGTTTTTAATGAAATGCTGTGTCAAACTACTGAATATTCAGAGAAACCAAACACTAATGTGCAAACACTGAATTACAATAAGTAACATCATTTTCACAATTACAGTCTTGAAACTCTTCCAGAGAATAAAGAGTCAGGGCTTGCATTCAGACTAAACAAAAGTTTTCTTGGATAACTAAAAAGTAAATAGTAAATGTGAGATACAAAAGAAGCATACAGAAAGTCAAAATATAATGAAGTAACTGTACTGTATTCCATACGCTAAGCCTATATACTGACTCCATTCTAACACATTTTATGTTTGATGACAAATTGCTTGGGAAACTGTAAAGGAATATGTGTTGGAGCTGCTTTGATTATATAAGAAAACGATTGTAAAGAACTCCAGAAATGAATTCAAAACAGCCAATCAGCAAAGAATTCCATCCTTGAAGCACTCTTCTAAAGAAAGACAAAAATCGTTTAGGATGTATTGCACAGCTCAAAATCCAGATGGTGAAAGCTGTAGGATAAAGGCCAAAATTAATTAGCCTGAGTTTTAAAAACATTAGTGTAAAGCATTTTCTCCCAAATTCATATAAGAAAAACAGTAACAAAAATATTCAAGTGTGGTTTGTATTATATCAGTGTTTCTCAGCCTCAGCAATTTTAAGATGCGTGGACCTCCAGAATTCCCAGCCAGCATGAATTGCTGAGGTTGATATAAATGCATTTATTATATTGTCATAAATATATGAGCTTTGGGGAAATTCTAGTATCGCATGATAAGTTAGCCATTTGTGTTTGCCAAGGACCTCCCAGATGCAATGTTCTCTAATCCAGCACCTTCCAGATGCATTTGACTACAACTTCAATCATTTCCAGCCACTATAGGAAAACATGGGAATTATAGTAGTTGTATCCTCTGGCATCCAGAGAGTGACAGGTTCAAGAAAACTGTCCCAGTGAAAAGCAAAAATGGCACCCATTATTGACTTCTCAATAAATGTCTTAGAATGTTTACCTTCTGATAGGATGTCATCACACTGTCCATTTTCTACCTCCATTATTGGCAATATATTACATGGGCAGAAATGATTAAATCATGCCATTGTTGTAGTGTTATCATGGCTTTGGAAATCTTTAGCAGTATAGCATAATACGTTACTCTGACTTGGAAAATCAAGGGTTTTTTTAACTGATAAAGTTTTGTTTGGTTTTGTTTATTTACAGAATGCTATACCAATTTAGTTAATGTTTGTCAGTGTCTACCCTAGCACCATGAATGTTGAAGTGTAAAGAAATAATCTTTTCCACTTACTCTTAATTGTGGCACAAATAATCCTAGCAATGCATTTTTATGTA